TGAGTGAGCCGGGGCCCACACGTGGACCAGCACGCGCTGTGGCCGGGCACTGCTCTGGAAGAGCGGCACCTGCATGTGGGCACCAACGTGCTGAGGGGCGTCAGTCGAGCCTCAGCTTCCTACCTACATGGGGAAGGGACTGAACTAATGTCCCGTCTACTCACACGCAATCAAGAGGTGAGTCAACAGAAGTTTAATGGGCTTTGATTGCTGCTGAAAATAACTATTTCTCTTCTTACTTCTGTGTTCTACAAAGAGAGACAGAATCATTTATAGAGAAGCAGCTGCAGACTTAACCCCTCACGCAGCAGGAAAGAGGAAGTGCCCACTTTATTCTAAGGCCGGACTCAACTTGTTTCTCTCCAGCTGTAAGGAAACTCAATTCCATTTTTCAGAATACATCTGCTAACTAGAATAATCAACTCACCAAAAATATTACTCAAATCATTATTCGTCTGGTGTTCAGTACTCACACAGTGCTGATGCACACGAGCTGGGCTAATCCTCCTGAGGGATACACAATATCACTGGTATCCCACGTGTATCCCTGATACATCTTATCACAGTGCCCATGAGGACACTGGGCTGAGAAAAGAGAGATGGTAGACTAGCCCGGATTCAAACCTTCCAACTTCAAATCTTGTGCTGATTCTAGGACAGCTCTCTGCCCCTGGTAAATTGCTTAAAAACTTATGGGTTAAATACAATCCTGAAATTTACTGTAGGACAAGATAACGTGCTATGATGGTGCACTGGTCCACCTGGAGGAAAAGCAGGTGCATGTGATGTACCCGGTAGCACTGGTCTCTCATTCAGGCAAAAAGTCCAGCAATGAAGACCTCAGGCTCTGCCTGCCCTGGGATCCTAGTCCAGCTCTACTCCTGGACCAGGTGTTTCTTATATCTTCTTCAGTTTTCTCAGTCATAAGTTGAGGGTAATTGCCTACCACACAGGGCAGTGAGGACCGAGACAGAGCACTGGAGACACTTAGCTCCGCTCCTGGCATCTATAAATATGGGCCAACAGGGCCAGGTCCTGACCACTGGGCGGGTCTCCTGGTGCAGGATGGCAGCACAAGAATACAGGTTTTTCAGCCAAGGGAGGGATGTACGGCCTTGTGCGAACCAGGTCCCTTTACCTGGGTCTTGGCTTCCTCCCTAGGAATACTAACATCTAAGTGGCAGGGTTGTTACAAAGAGTTCACACGAAGTATACAAAGTACCTAGCATAGTGCTGGCACATGGCTGACATTAAACGGTGGCTGTTATTTTTATGTCAGGGATACTGAGTAACTTTAAAGTTGACTTGCTTAAACAAGCATTTTGTTTACTAGAAAAACTCTGGTTTAACGAAGCATTGATAATATAAATCAAGATTTAATCTGTTAGTTTGCATTGTCTTCTTTTTAATTAGGGATTTTAAATTGAGAAAGTTATCAATTCCATCTTTATGAACAAAACCAGGTAATACAAAGTATTTGAGGCAAGGAAAGAGAAGTGACCTAATGGTTTTCTCCATTCCAGTTAAAACCGTCTTTGTTGTCATCCTTTTCTGGGGGGAGAGGACACAACACATCAGCTTTTGGTTTGTGAGGAAAACAACTGAAGAGTTGAAATATTCGGAAACAAAGCTCGTCATAAAAACCTCCAGAGGAATCTTGATTCCCGACACACCTCTTCCCACTGTCGTCTTCCTGAGCCCTCCGCACACATGGAGAATGAGATCAATGAGAACCAAGTGCCCAGAGAAAAGCAGGCACTGACGAGCAATTTCTCCAGATTAAACAAATCCGGAAGCCTTCCTCCCAAACTGCCTAGAACCACCTGGACCCCAAGATTAAGGAGGAATGGATTCCAAGCTAAAACGGGGGGGGGGGGGGCGGGTGCTGGCCCTGAGGCATAGCAGTTAAGTGCGAGTGCTCCGCTCCTGGCGACCCAGGTTCGGGACCCTGGGCTTGAACCAATGCACCGCTTGTCAGGCCATGCTGTGGCGGTGTCCCATATAAAGTGGAGGAAGATGAGCACAGATGTTAGCCCAGGGCCAGTCTTCCTCAGCAAAAAGAGGAGGATTGGTGTGGATGTTAGCTCAGGGCTGATCCTCCTCACAAAAAATAAATAAATAAAATAAAACAGAGGGAGACACACAATATCCACAAAATCTTGTTCCACACATGCCAGTAACTGCAGCAAATCGTCAATTACTCTACCTAGATCAGTGGAGAAAAGCTAGACCTCCTGCAAAAGCCCATTATGTCTTTAAAAGTGCAGAGACAAAAAGGTAATAATTTTCCCTAATGAAAAGGTTTATTATCTTACTACATTTTACCTGGAACACTGTAACTATATGAACATGAGATACAAAAGGTTATTTCAAGTAAATACCTATTCTAAAATAAGTACATAGTAATAATAAAATGGCTTTTACTTTGGTAAATGCTTTATTACTTCAGCACTCACAGCCTCTGATAATCTCTGGTCCTGAGACGACCACACAATGTCCACTCCCTGGAGGGCACAGCCATGCAGGCAGCCCACGGGTCCTGTCATCGCAGTATTCCTTCTCAGGACCCGGAATCACCCTCCACGCCGCCTGCCCCAGGAACACCGTGCCCTGGCTCCTCAATACACACTACTTCATTGTAACGTTCCACATTTTCAAAAGAAAAAATGCCTAGCCATTTGTCTTTACTGTAAACTTCCCTGAAGGTAGGGAAAAATATCCAGCATTTGATTAACTACACGCCAGTCTCTTAATCATTTAACCCCATTTATTTCTCAGAATTACTCTATATGAAACAGATATTTTAAAAGTGAAAAACCATTGATCAAGAGTTAAGCAATTTATTCAAGATCAAACCCCTAAGGAACAAATACGGGGTTCAAATCCAGCAAGGTCTGGCCTCTGTGCTTGTCTCCACTACAGCCGTCTGCACCAAAACTGAATAGATATGAAAAAATCCAGTATTAGCAATTGTGTTCCATTCAACCTTTAGTCCCATAACTTAATTTTCATTATTAGCTCAAATTAAAATAGAAGTGAAAAACTAGCAAATAGAATTTCATTTGAGCAAATATTCTTTTAAACTACTTGTATTGCCATTGGATTGTTATCAAGTATTTTAGTTAACTTATTTTCATATAATAAACTTTTTATTTGTCTAGGTAAATCTTACCACATTTATGGGGCCGGCCTGGTGGCATAGTGGTTAAAAGTTCACACGCTCTGCTTCAGTGGCCCAGGGTTTGCAGGTTCGGATCTCAGGTGCAGGTCTATGCACCACTCATCAAGCCATGCTGTGGTGGCATCCCATATACAAGATAGAGGAAGATGGGCACAGATGTTGGCTCAGGGCCAATCTTCCTCAGCAAAAAGAGGAAGATTAGCAACAGATATTAGCTCATGGTGAATCTTCCTCTCACACACACAAAAAAATCAAATTTAAACACTCAAGATTCTTAAATGTTTTGCAGATTTGCTGGAAAGTAAATGCCTATTTGTAGGTACTGATATGCAAAAAGTTCACATTTTAACGTATTATCAAGAACAATTTGCATTTCTCTACCAAATAGCCCTCTATAATGGAAATTCACTGTAAAACAGTTAGGGATTTATGTTTGGCACAAATAATGTTCTCAATGTTTATCAAATAAAGTAAACAATCAGAAAACAACTGTTTTACTTATAATAAACACATGCCATATAGATCCTTAGATGCTGCAGTGGTTACTCAATTCTTCCTTGTGGCAGCTTCAGAGACTATAAAACACACTATGGAGAGAAATGAATTCTCTCCAATATAGTATGGTTAAAGTGAACCACGTTATCGCTTAAGAAATGAAAATTCCGCTGACCCTTTCAATATGTGGGCAGTTAAGGACACAGATTTTATCATGCAAGGAGTTAATCTAAATCAGAGGTTGGCGAAGTTCTTCTGCATGGGGGCAGAAAATAAATAATTTAGGCTTTGGGGGGTCATGTGGTCTCGTCCCAACTATTCAACTCTGCCATTGTACAAAAGCAGCCACAGACAATACATAAGTGAATAAGCATGGCTGTGTGCCAGTAACACTTTATTTATGGACGCTAAATTTGAATTTCATATAATTATCACTTGTCACGAAATAAAATTCTTTTGATTTTTTAACCATTTAACAATGTAAAGATCATTCTCGGCTCACAGACAATACAAAAACGGATGGTGGCTGGACTTGGTCTGTGGGTAGTAATTTCCCAACCCTGATCTAAATATGTATTCTGTTTTGACACTTATTTATTTGCTTGCAATTAGGTAACTTCTACTTCATTATTAAGCGAGAACAATAATACAAAATTTGCTTAAGGCTTTGTCTAAACTGCTGGTGTACAAATTTTTAAGACAAAAATTTAAAATTACTTATGTCAAAATTAAATGTACTGCTAGAGGAACAAACTGGCCAAGTTTCATTTATTTCTTGATGTCACAGCTCTCGTGCACACAGCAGGAAACACACCTTGGTTTCACAATGGCATCTGGCCGCACTTCTGATTATAATACAGCAAGTGCAAGTTCACTTGGAAATGTACATTTACACACTTGATATAAATTAAAGACAGCTACACTAGGATTTGTGATAGTAAAAGTGTGATTTGAAGTTCCATGACTAGACCACTTCTGTTTAATAAAAAGTGTACCCAATCATTTAAAAATGACCATTTGGGGAATAGGCCAGTGTATAAAATGTCTGTCATGTAAAACTTAGCCATTTATTTTTTTAAAAAATAATCTTCAAACTTTAAACCTTTTTATTGAATTGTTATATGGATATACATTATTATAGCAAGAAACAAATTTGCTATGGGCTGTATTTTCAGCAACTTGGTTAATTTTTTAAAAATTTGTTCATGAAGAAATAACATTATTTTTATTAAAATAGCAGCTAAATGAAATCTTCTTTCCACATTTAATGTGCTAGGTTGCTTCCATGTCAGCCCCACTCTAGGAAAAAAAAAAAAAATCAGTCTGAGACTCACTTGAGTGTTTAATTCAAACCTATATTTGTAGTTTCTAAAATGCTGATCCACAGACCACTTTCTTGTTACACATGTGTACCAATGAAAACAAAAGGTAAAGAGAATGACTGCCATCCCTACAAAAGGAATGGCTCCTTTTCTAACATTCTTTAAAAATATACACTGTACAGTCCTTGTGCCTCACCACAGGTGGCGATGTAATAAATACACGGGCTTATCTTGTCACTTCACTGCTCAGTGAGGTCCACCAACTACCTGTTGTAAGCCCTCTCCTTTTTGGATTTCTCGAGGGCTTTGTCCATGGTTTTCTCATTCTCCCCTCGACATTTGGGACAGTACCACTTGCCCTTTGGTTTATGATTCAGTCCCACGCAGGAGAAGTGGAACCACTCGATGGGGCATTCGTCGTTGTCACAGCCGATCATTTCTCCATAGGAGACCTGATTGCACAGACAGTACGTGGGCTCGTTTGGGTCGATGGGGAGGTCTGCGGGGGATGCTTCCCTCTCTGCTTTGGCCTTGGAGCGTTTCTTCTTCTTGGAGGCTTTTGCTTTCTTCTCCTTAGGCGTTACTGAGGTGATGTCATCGTGGTCGTGAATATTAGCTGCGTTCTCTCGATTTTCGTTGTTGCGCTGTCGCCGGGACCTCTTGTTGTTGGGCTTTTCTGCCTGTGTGATTGTCTCGTTCTTGGACTTATCTTGGCCGGCTTTGCCACCGTGGCCGGTAGTGTCATTGACCTCTTGATGTGCCTCGAAGAGTTCCACGTGACTGTCCACCTGCCTGGTTCGGTTCTCCACCAGCTCCACCATCTGACTCACAATCTGGATCTTCTCATCACCCAGCTCCTGGCTCCGAATCAGGGCTCTCTGAATGCAGTGCAGCAGTCTCCTCTTCTGGGCGCCATCCGTCTCGCGCTTAAACTTCTCATAATAGTCATCTAGTTCCTTCAGGATTTCTGCAAGGGAAAAAATAAGCATTACATCTACAAACACTACCGAGCCTTTTATTTAATTCTCTAGTCTGTAAAAAAGTAATTGCATAGGAGAGAAATGATCAACGCAAGTCTTCCCTGTATAAAAACCTTACAGCCTGGAGGCCTCTCTAGCGACTTTTTTTCCTGTTGAAAAAAATCCCTGGAACTAAATACAAATGTCAACACTGTTTCCATCTAGCAAAATGCCACGCAAAGCTCCCCAAGGGACTCTGTAGTGCATTCGGAAGCATAGGTAACAAATACTCCTGGGACAGGCAATTAAGGGGAAAAGTTCAATTTTAGGGGAAGTGCTGGGGCCCAAACTTTTTTTTCTATAAAATTAATGATTATGTCCTATACTTCCATTGGGATTTTTTGCACATCCTAGTTGCTTATGTGGGACGCGGCCCCAGCATGGCCGGAGAAGCGGTGCATTGCTGCGCACCCGGGATCTGAACCCGGGCCGCCAGTAGCGGAGTGAGCGCACTTAACCGCTAAGCCACGGGGCCAGCCCACTTCCATTGTTTTTATTCAAGTATTTTTTGAATAACTTAAAGGCCTTTATTCTCCCCATTTTAATGTACTAATGTCTACAGCACCCTAATAAATTAGAGAATGTATACAAATATTACTTAGTGACCCAGGGCCTGGGTGTATCCGTGATGTCATTTTCCTCCTGGCATGTTATTCCTCTGTGTTACTGAAAACAAGAATGGTTTGTCACAATAAGCCAGACAACCTAGCCTTGCTTTAAAACACAGCTGGCAAATTTTACCTGTGCATTTATTGCTTAAAACAACATACTTACATCTGTAAAAGTCAACAGATTTCACAGCATTATCAAAAGCAAAAAACCCTCAGGACTAAGTTTAAACCTTCTTGGACAGGTTAGAAGGCAGTGTATGTGATTTTAAATGTAATTAGGCAAGTTCTCAAGAAATGAAAGCTGTTAAATAATCTGACTGAAGTAAGAAAAGTAAACACTCTGGCCAAAAGCCTATTTATTTATTTATTTTTTGGTGAGGAAGATCAGCCCTGAGCTAACATCCACGCCAATCCTCCTCTTTTTGCTGAGGAAGACTGGCCCTGGGCCAACATCCATGCCCATCTTCCTCCACTCTATATGGGACACCGCCACAGCAGGGCCTGACAAGCGGTGCGTAGGTTCGCGCCCGGGATCCGAACCCGTGCCGCCAGCAGGGGAGAGGGCACACTTAACCGCTATGCCACAGGGCCGGCCCCCCAAAAGCCTATTTAAATACACAGATAGAAATTCCCAGAGTTATTTTCCCCAAACAGTAATATTAAATTAAATGGTATCAGATTTTTCTCCTGAAAGCCTTTTGCAGTCTCTTAAAATAACTCAATTCTACTCTCCAAGTAGGAAGTGTGTGAGGTGATGGGGGGGCGGGGGGGAAACGTATAAAACGTAACCATCACTCCTTCCAGATCTCAGAACAGTGCTAAGGCATAAACCAAACACTGGAGTAAACACAGAACTCAGGCCAACTCTGGAGCTTACCTAAACGTTAAGTGTTATTTTCCAGGCTATATTCTTCAACTAAAGATAGCTCTGATGATGTTTCCTAGAGGAACAATGTAGGCTGTGCCACCAGAAAGCAGGAATGCTACAGTCTCATAGTCTCTTAGAGTAATTAATTCTGAAAATAAACAGCTATGCTCAACTTACCCAAGTTCTATTTCACAGAAATAGGACGATTTTAACTTGGGTAAGTTAAAATGGGTTCCTGTCATTTATTTTTAAATGGATTACACATTACGAAACTGTTCTCATTTCGTATAAGCAGGAACCAAATTTCCAAAGACAATGCTAGCATTGTCTACAAAACGCTAGCATTTCATAGAAAAGAGAACAATTCTATCAAATAGCTAATATAAAATTTAATAACATACAGCTTCTTTTACATCACAAGCAAGCTTACGTACATGTGAAGCCTCACTTGTGGGAAAGCAAGAAACACCTCATCACAAAATTACCACGAAGTAATTCTGTTACCTACACAACGGCATGTGTTTCTTAGATGCCGCAAGCGACGCACTCTATCAACAAAGCCACTGAAGTACAGACGTCCGCAAACAGGAACAAAACCAGAGCTAAGTAGGGAGGCATCCTGCCAGGACGCCTGGCTCCTTCTGCTCCATCAGCTCAAACTGCTGCCGACCCTTTCTTCTAAAAATGCTCCACGCCCACGTTAACGTAGGAAAGCAACGGTTACCTTAGAAAGAATTTAAGGATTAAACGAGATTTCTGCAAAATTTAATCAGATCTGTCCGATTATTTGGAATGTATTTTAATTTTACATAAGGCTTGCACTGAAGTTCTTTACGAAGCCACCTTCCACGGTGGGTATTTAAAAAATAACATTTGAAAAACAATCCAAAAATAATTTTGAATTCAATAATTCAAAAGTAACCTCAAATACCATTTAAAGTTGATTAATTATAATCATCCTTATGAATTCATCTCCAACTGAGGCGTACTAAGCAAACGATGGATAATCAAGTTTGACCTGCAACACAGTTGTTCTTTAAAAATAAAAGCTTAATTTTTTAGAACTATGCCGCATATATCAACATTTAACACCAGGTGCGTCATGACGACGGACGTGCCGGCCGTTCAGGCTTCACACCTCACTCACTGGCGCCGGCTCGGACGTGCACCGGGGTCGGGGTGGACTGATCATTTCTCTGCAGCAGCCAAACTAGCCCCGCCGCGTGCACCGAGTCCACCGCAGACACTCCGCCTCTGCAGCAGCCGGGCGGCTTCTGCCCAGCCACGCCAGGAGTAAGAACGCACCCTCGCCGGGGATACCAATGTGGACGTTTGAAGATTTTAAAGATAAACTTCATCTATCATCTTGAAATTTCCTAAAGTGCTCAAGAACAGAGTTTGTCACGACGAACTCGAGTATTGTGAAGACCTGTAAATCACCCCCGCGAACGGGTACACCCCCGAGTCGCCCCCGAGCTGGGCGCACACGGGACCCTCGGGGCCGCCCGGCTCTCCCCCGCCCGGTCACTCACGCTTCTCCCGCTCCGCGCGGCCGCACCCGCGGGTCAGCAGAGAGGCGGCCCCTGGCCATGTGCGGGCCCGTCCCGCGGGTCCCTCGGGCCCGGGCGGGAGGCCTCAGCTGCGTCCTCCGCAGTCCCGGCAGGAAGGCTCGGCGGCCTCGCCCCCGGCCCCAAGGCGCCGCCATTGCTCCGCGACCGGAAGCGGCCGGCACGGGCCCCTGAGGGGCGGGGCGGGGCCCACCGCCAATGGGAAGCGGCCAGAGGGCGGCGCGCCCCGCCCCGGAAGCCGCTGCCTACGGTGATCGCCCAGCCGGAGGGCGGAGGGCAGGCGGGGCGCCAATCACAGCGCAGGGCCCGAGAACGCTGCCCGCCCCAGTCGCCAACCCAAGGCCGGAGGCCGGGCAACCCGAAGACTTCAAATCAACTCGACCTCCTCCCTCCTACCCGCCCCTCTACGAAAGAGAAAAAAGAAGGCAGCGGAAACAGAGACCCGTGCCAGTCACTGCGCAAGGCCCGCCCTCGCCCGGCCCAGCAGCCAATGGCTCAGCGGCGGCCTGATAACGACATTCCATGGGCGACGCCACGGCCAATCACCAGGAGGCTGAGGCGGAACGTTCGCAATATGCTAATGAGCCTCCTATAAAATTCGCTGCGAAGCCGAGTCTCGGGTAGAGCGCGTCGGGGCGCCTTCCTGGCAGAGGCTGCTTGTGAGCTTCGGGGCAAGCGGTGGCTTTCCACCTCCCCCCTCTCTTCCGTTTCCCTGCTGCGCAGCCCTGTAAACATTAGTAAACTCCAAGTGACGATCCACGTTCCAAACACAGCCCCCAATGCCGAGCCTGACCTGGCAGGAAAGTTTCCCCAACAGCCAACAATTCCCAGCGGACACGAACCCTCCGCCTCTCTCCGGCACTCTGGGCGGCTGGGGCTGCAGAGAACGACCACAGGTCCTCTCCTCTGCCATGTTCCTCTCCAAGCCGACAATCTCTGCCCGCGCCCCCCGAGCGCAGCACAGATGGGCGACTTCCTCGCCCCATCCTCCCCTCCCTCTCCTCCCCTTGCTCACCGCACGCGCGGAATAAAGCCCCGGCCCTCCGCAAACTACACCCGGCCGCGTCGCCCTCACTCGGTGTCCAGCAGCACGGGAGGGCCGGGGGACTGGGCAGGGGCGACCGGGACGACACCGAGCGCAGTACCGACCCCGGACTTTATGTAACACTCATATTTGGGACTGGGTGGGGGCGGCTCCGGGGATGGCGAGCAGGGCCGGCGGACCCCTCGCCCGCAGCGCCCTCCTCAGCAGCCCTGCGCGCAGCGCCGTCCCTGCACCCCTCAGCCCTGGCGGCCGCGGCACATCCCTCCCTCCCTCGGCGCCGTAGCCTGCGCCCCCTGAGCCCCCTCCCCCGCAGCACCCCGCCTCGTCACTTCACTACAAAGAGCGCTTTGCTCGCGCAGCCTGGCATTGAGACCTCTCGTTCCTCCTTCCTCCTCCGTGTCCGGGCTTCGCGCACAAGGACCTTGGCGAATCAAAGACGCTCCAGACCTTTTGTTCCTGCCCTGCCAGGGCGGCCGCCGCGGGCCCGCAGCTCCCCGGGCGGCGAGCAGGACGGCCC